CATGATTAGTATTAATGAAAGGTTTTTTCGCGGTTTTTACTGATCCTTTCTTTTGTTTTCAAAATACCATACTGCAAATTTTGATGAATTTAATTTGGCAGATTATATATATATATATATATATATATATATATATAGTATAAATGTCCTTAACAAGTATATGTGTGATCAGATTGTTCAAAACGTATTACGCTAATATATCACACAGTTCTGTTCATCTTCGTCTTCTTATTACATTGGCCAAAATACTTCGCCTGAAAAATACACACTTTCTCATGGTAGTTTTTGTCGAATGAAGCTCTTAAACATTTATTTATCTACTTATTTGAACACATAAACATCCCTACAAGAGAGCACCAAACACATAGGCGCAACACACTTACAATGAGTCTGGCAGTAGTTATCGTTGATTTGTGGGGGGGGCTGTTATGCTGCCCAGTTGCCTAAACCGAATCGAGTGGTTTTCTGAAGGAGCAATTTCGAAGCGTTTGATCTAAGGGTCTGATCCACAAGGCAGCGGAGCATCGTAGGGAGAGGCAGTCCCATGGTAGCTGATTACCAATGATTGGTTCATACGCCGATTGTTCCGCCGGGTTACTGTAGCTCATGAACACCATTGGTTTGGAATCAGGGTTTTCCAACTGTTCTTGGTGGATACTCCATATCCATCAACCCGGTTAAAGTGCTGAACATTTACTTTCGTCATCCCTATTTCGTTAACAACGCCCCCACCACGGATAGGCAGTGAGTAGGACTTCCCAGTCAGTGGCTGTACACGCGTACCTATGTGAGGGCATTTCGAGAGGGAGAGCGGATTTAGAAATATGGTCTACTGTGATATTAGCACTGCTCTAATAATAGACCTAATCCCAATGTTGTAGATTTGTTATGATGTAACTGCCTAATCTATGAGATCTTACGTGGAAGTCACATCATCATCTACACCAACTCACTGCGTCGTAACAATTACTAATACATGATATAGAACAACCTTTGGCTAGAGATGGAACAATATATTTAATATGAATAAAAGATATGACGTAACATTTAGAAGGGACCACGCCTGCATGGCCGAGCCATGAAATATGACCAACTTATTCAAATCATTGTTCCCAGCGTTAAAATGCTGAATGTCTATTTTTCGTATTGTCTCGTGTTAGGGCCCAATGCCACTACACGGACTCCCCAGTCTTTTTGCCGTACCATGGCATTTGGAGGCCTAAGACTGAGAACCAGTCACCTGCCGGAACGCGAGTATCGTGACAACGGGTTAAGGAGGTATATTTGCACGAAATAATTTCTCCAACTAATAGCGGAAATATATATATGCTGCAATGATCATTAACATAGTACTAGGAGAAAGTTCATGGTCGATCTATCGCCAACGTTGAAATGTAGTCGAAGTTGGTAATACATGCATCCAACTATCCTACCAGAAGAACGGAACCGTTTCTCAATTAGGAATTTGTCATGCAGTGACTACCTTACATATCAGACATGATATAAATGTCATATCACTATTACACAGTAACTGGTTAGAACTAAAGGCTTCTAAAGTATAAATTTCAGCTGAAAATAGAGCGAAATCCTTGATATGAAAAGCAAGTGGTTAGGAAGATTGACTTTACCTGCATTGCCGAGCCATGCAATTCCGAATAAATCCCTCAAGTTCACCATTTCGGCTGTCTCCAGGTGTTCAGTGTTGAATGTAATTCTTCTCAGTTATTGTGATTTCAGATCTAAAGATTGGAGTCAGACAAGGATATCTACTCTTTCCCATTCTTTTTCTTCGGGTGGTTGACTGGATTATGGAGAATAGAACAGCTTAAAGCGACTGGACGGCTTGGACTTCGTTGATGACCTAGCTCTTCTATCCCATACAAACAACAAACACAGGTCAATGCAACTGGTGTAGTAAAAGCCTTTTCGTCTGTAAGCCCCAACATACACAGGAAAATCAAGATCTTCAGATACGACACGGACAACAGCGACCACAACTGATAGAGAAATTATAGAAGTGGTGGAAACTTGGGACAACTCAAAAAATTAAAACCCAAAAATTGAAGACAAACAGAAGCGTTGAGGGTAACAGAAACTATCTTTGTTATTGTGAAAATGACTAATGCTAGTGAACAGAAAAATATTTATCCTAACCCTTCTGTCGACTGTCAAGTCCATAATGGAAGGAACAATTATATGTAGTAGTTATAAGGTGGTACACAAGATGCATTATAGGTGTACATTTTGTACCTTGAAGGTAGATTGAGACGATTTCAAAACATCTGCATAATTATGTGATATATGTCTAATCAAGTCACTCAAAACCAAACTGTTTTAAAATGTACTTAAAACAAGTATACTAAATTTAACACAAGTCAAGGTTACTGGATAAATTAGCAAGACTAGACAAAGTTGTTGAAAAATAGTGTCGTTGGGTATTTGGATATGTTTCATTCCCTTTCCTCTTATCCAAAAAATGGTTTCTACTTCCAAATCAAACTTCACATGAGTAACTTTCATGTAATCGTTTTCACATATAAGGTGGAACTGTTGATACAAACTTATGGAATATAATAAAATACAGTTCCTTATGTATGTAGTAAACCTATCATTTTTCTTTGGCTAGTATATAATACATGGAGTCTAAATTGAGTGCCGTTCTAATCTGTGTTAATATAAACTTCTGTACGTGAAAGGTTTAGAAAAAAGTAGAGATAAGTTCATTTGTATAGCCACCTCCTTCTATTCTAGACTTAATAACATTAATTTTTTTGTGCGGATCTATTACGAGAATTGTAAAGTGATACGACTGTGATCTTATTGTTTTTGTTTGTTTATCTGCCTTATCTAAGGTCAAACCCATTTTGTGACCTTGACTCCGGCTTAAAATACTGCCCTAGAGTGCTGATATACGCAACTTTGCTACGTCTTACTTGTCGTTTTAAGCATAGCATCTATTTTCGTAAGGATTTGACTTTTTATTACTGTTATTTTGATTCGTAATCATTGTTTGCTTTAAATGTTTGATAAAGTTCAGATATTGAGAATAGAATTGTATATACCAGCATATATATGCTGGTTGTGAAAATCTTTGCCTGAATCATATTTTTTTCAAACGATAAACCTTGTTTGATGATGTTACCTAACTCATAGCCTGCGTGAATTTTTGAAACTAAAATAAGGTTTCTATTAATGTTCTACGAAATAATCCTGTCCGTTAGTTATAAAATGATTTGGTAGAAATAAATTACTTTAATTCGAGCGACCCCTGAAGCGATCATAGTTAAGTCTATTTAGATTCCGGTTGAACAGAAAGCATATAGAACTAATGTTTCAACAGAAAAATCAAGTAAGACTTTGTTTTTTATATTATTTAACATAGTTAAGGCATTTGTAAAATTTAATTAGTGTTTTTATGTTATAAACAAAAAGTCAAGCAGATTATTCACTAGTTAGAACCATTTTCGAGTCACGTCGTAGATGGTAACTGGGTTGTCCTTTTTTAAACTGATTAACAAAAACTCCGATTGTGCATAAATGACCTCACTTGTATTGAAGAACCCTAATTGCTTCACTGAAAACTAGCTTTCAATGTTGCTTCGAACCTAGGATTTTCTCACAACTCGCATTAAAAAATCTTACTGGTTAGCAATTGTTAACTTACTTTTTTCTCCAGATTCGCATTCAAACAGTTAATAACCGACACTTGTTTAATGCATAAGTTATCTATCTAAAAACTATTCCAATTTCTGTCTGGTTCTCCCGTATGATTTGGTTTTACTATTTCAATACGGTATTCGAAAAAAATTTCATAGAGTTTTCTGTTACATTGTAAGCCAGAAAGCTATTTAATTTCGAAATATAAGGGCCCCTACATCGATAGCTATTTAAATACTTATTACATATCTCCCGAGTGGCTGTCTTTAGATTGACTGCCCGAGAATCCAAACTTTACTTCAATTAGTCTTAATAAATCGTCTTTGAAAACGTAACTGAAGAATCTTTTAGACCATCACAGCGTGACTCGCGCTACCTATCCTACTCTGTCAGCGACCCTTATGTTGTCGAACGCTAAATTGGCCTTCCGAAATGTTAAACATTAACCGAATATAAGAATCTGTCCTTCTACAACAGCACGAAAATATAAGAACAAAATTGAACTTAGTAAAACGGTAAAAGTTTGTATCGATATGATGAATCATTTGATTGTTAATTGGAGTAAGAAAAGTATCTTCCATAAATATCAACATTTCATCATGTTTGTGTGTAGACCGTGATACTGCCCGGGTGCCCAGACCGAAGCAGGTGGTTTTCTGAGGGGGCCACACCTCGAGCCTTTGACCTAATGGTCTGACCCACAAGGCAGTGGAGCATCGTGAGGAGGTGCAGACCCACGGTAGCCGGTGACCAATGATTGGTTCATACGCCATTTGTTCCTTCAGGATACTGGAGCCCATGTGTACCATTGGTTTGGGATCCGGTTAAAGCACCGGACACTCTCTTTTCGTCCTCATTTTCGTAAACAACACCCCCTCCACGTGAATTCAGTGAGTAGGACTTCCCTGGCAAAAGCTGCATACGCGTGGCCGTGTGAGAGCATTTCGAGAGGGAAGGAGGGCCCACTCCACTCTCGTCCGTACCAGGGCATTTGGGGGCTCTCTGTGTTCGATCATCGCTGTCTCCGAAGGATTTCGGACATCCAGCGGCAACACCATGTTATTCGTTTAATGTGTGGTACTAAACATTTGTATCTTCGGAATGTGACCGTTTATCGGCTTATTAACAAGTATATTATGATATTAAAAACAAAAAATAACAGTAAACGTCAAAAATTCGTCGATCTGTATTTCGGTTATGAAAGTGAGTTCTTAGACCAGTACAATTCAGACCAGTTTATTATTGAAAGCAGTAGAATGTATCCATATTTGTATGCAAACAATAAATCGTTTGTTATATTAGCTTTCTTTTGTTGTGTTGTTTTTTGTAGAACGGCTTCGGTAATGGATAGATATGACCCTGTGGAATCGCATTCCAGAAGTTCGAAATCATTCATCTATCTTGTCATCATATCACAGGTTTGTCAATCATAAAGGCAGCTCAACTTTCTTTTAGATTTTTGGGTTACTTGCCGTCATCTTAACAGCTGTTTGGTTGGGAAAATACTGGGGTGGTTTTAGTTGGACTAACGCCAACACAGTCTTCAATTATCATCCTCTGTTCACGGTCTTGGGTCTAGTGTTTTTATATGGCGACGGTAAGTGTGATGCGGAATTATGTATGTTCTTTACGATATAAATAAAATGTTCATTTAAATTTCGTCCGTTATTATGAATCATAGATGGTTTTGTATTTATCTGTGGGTTTTAAGTCAACTCATAATTTATTAGTATATAGTAAAACCTGTTATCAGTTATATACAATGCTGAGGATATTATTCGTCTAGCTGTGCAGTAATAAGAACTATTGGCTCATGATTCGACTAACGGTTTCTAATCTCTCATATTTCATTGAGGAAGGGTATCGCGGTGGTAAACCGATCGCATAACCTTCCTCATAAATAAATGTAATGTCCAAAATATAGTCCTCATAATTTAGAAGATATTTGAACGTATAATGAATTCAAAATCAGTTTGATTATCTTTTTGATATTTAGAAGCATAACTAACAACTTCCAGTAGTGATTTAAATTTTAAGCTATATATGAGAAGATATACATTCTCAAGCGTTTTCTACCAACTGAACTTCTAAATTGTGGAAACGTCCTCTTGAAATTATCAGTTTAGAATACGATTTACCATAATATATTTATTAATACAAAAAACTTAAACTTATTTCAGCTAACCTGGTCGGTGACAGATCATTCTGAAGTTCAAGAATTACAGTGCGTTATAGTGTGTTTATACCATACAGATGGCAAATATGAAATAAATGCGGCTATTATATTTGACGGGGACTTTATGATTTGTAATAATAATGAACGGGTTCTAAGTGGTTTAGATGAATAAATATAATGCCGACCAAATAATGATGCACAGTGAACCAATTTTCTTGAGTGATTACTGCTCACAAGTCCATCCGGTTCATTAACTCAAGCTCCCAATCAGTCAAAAACTAAAACATAAAATGATTGGCTAGTGGAAAATTTTTTTCCAGTAGTACAAGATGTTTATGTGTAAGATATTTAATGGGAAAATAAATGAAGATATAATTTTGTAGCCAAGCAGTCGATTTATATAAGTCCTATCGATCGATCACTTTCATGATTTTAAGATGTATTTTCCCTGTTATATCAGTAATGTATAGAAAGAGTAGTTTTAGCTTAATGTTCACCCTTGTTGGTTGACAGAGATGAGTCACACTGTACATATATATATATATATATATGTCCTGATAATCGGCCGTTATCATTCAGTATCACATAATGGTTGAAAGTTCTATAATCCCAGCAACACTAATATTGCAAGAACGTGAAATTAATGTACAATGTAAAAATTAAAAATATTTGGAGACAAAAGTGCAATGTATAAAGCATCAGTATTTGTTAAGTGTGTTGTGTAAATGATAAACCACTTTTTTGTGTTTTATGTTCAGATTATCATAGATTACATACCACCTTACCTTTTTATTTTTACATCTAAGATATAATTAGATGTTGGACTATACTTTGAGTTCTGTATAACATCCCAATCTGTTTTCATTTGTGTGGTTTTGTCCGGCTCGTAAAGAACTGGCCTGTCTCTCAATAAAATCATCATATAATTTATAACTGGACTAAATTGACCATAAAAACGATTTGTGTTGTTATATGCTTTGGAGATTTTTCTTATAATCTCATTGTTGATTCTTTGAGAGCTGCTCATATCAAGATGTTCCAAAACTGTCATACTTTTAGGCATTCTAAGACGACTAATTGGTAGTTTTTTTCTTGTTGTTGATTCGCTAAAGTTAAATAATTAGGATTTTCCCAGTTTTCATCATAAAGTGTCATTAGCTGGAAAATCGTTGACAAACAAAAACCACCGAATACATAATTCATTCTAGTTTGAGACTGACAATTACTCCATGCCTGCAACCCCTCATCAACCTTGTCCAAGACTTCCAGGTCTTGCAAGTCGAAATCCAAAAGCTCTGTAGTCTGTTCTCACCATCGCACAGTCATCCAGTACTATTGGTAACTGGTCCCCTCACTAGTGACAATTATGACTTCTCACTAAACCACAAAACTTTATGCTCCTCAAATATTTGAATGTTGTATCGTACTCCAAAAATTTATCAGTTATATAAAATATCTGAAACTGGGTTATTATTGAGCAAATATTAGCTGAGATAACAAAGAAGCTCTATATATGGAGATTGTTTTGTGTCTTCTGGAAATGATATGATGCCAGATTAGGCCTAACAGTCAGATTTTAATTAACTAGAAAATGAGTGACTTTAAAGCTCGTTTCTTCCTATCCCCTATAACATTTTATCATGTTTATGTTGTATTTGTATTATATATACGAGCGTGTTATTTTGTTACATGAAAACCTATTCATTTGACTAGCGGTTTTGTCTTTAATGTTTAATCATTCGGTGGCTTAAGACAATCTTTCTTTCATAATAGAAAATCGGGTGTAACTCTGTCATGCTGTTTTTGTGATTCAGGTTGTTTTTATTCAACAGTAACAAACACTGCTTTCACCATGATCTCAATAAATGCATCTACTAACCAATGTATGCGTTTTCCGACTACTTATTATAGTCAGTAATATATTTTATTCTATTAATATTTAGAATCTGGTAAAATTTCTGGGCACGATAAGTTGTTACTAGATAACTGTCCGTCGTTTTGATTTATTAGCTTTTATTGTACAATTCGCAGATAGTTATGTAAACTGTTTGTTTTGTAAACATTTTCCTATTGTTAGTAGTTGTATTTCAAATATTTTATTTTTTTCTGAACATAATGTATTTTCTCCTTTTTTGAAAAAATTGATTATAGCAATTTTAGTATATCGTGTATTTCGATCATTCCGAAAACTACCAATTAAAATTCTACATGCTGTCCTACATATTCTTGCATTCTTATTCGGTGTTCTAGGAATTAAAGCGGTGTTTGATATGCACAATGCCTTATTAATACCTAATTTATACAGTCTTCACAGTTGGTTAGGTATAATAGCTATTATAGTGTTTGGATTACAGGTAAGACGTATAATGAAAATATACATTCATTTGCATTCATGTATGTAGTTGCTAAAAATCTTATGCTTCTTTTACTAAACCAACAACATGTAACACCGAAAAGATAATACGTGCTTTAAATAAGAGGGTGGTAATGTAGTACACTGTTATCCGATTGTGGCAATCAAACTGTTCTCATGCTTATTAATTAAAATTGTGTTGCTCTTGGCTAATGGTTGATAAATCATCAATAATTTAAGTGAATATACTTTAGATTATAATAGACTTACAGAAAGAGGTAGAATATATATAGTTAAAAATGATTAGATCACATTTAACTCTTATTCAGTATATTTGTTAAATTCAATATGAAACACTTTGGAATATCCCGTCGTTGATATTATTGCCTGAAATCTGATCTGCCATGGTTGGCGTATGGGTATTCTGAGTGAACATCTATTCCGGAATGTGAGTACATTCTGCCAACAAGTCCCAAATAGGACGAAACACACGTCTTGAATTTCACAGCTAGCCAGATTCCATTTATTCTATATCTTTGCTAAGTGAAATGCCAGTAAAAAATAATCTTTTCAAAAGTTCATTTTTAATCTAGTCATCAACAAATTATAAGAGTTTATTATCGTCATAATGAACTGTGTCAAAAGGATCGAGGTGGTGTATAAGCGTTGAAAATGTACATTTGTTACGAATTTCATGAGTCCTCGATAAGCAAAAATAGTTACTTTATGAGTTTAGTGAAATTGCTTTAAACATTTAAGTAGTCTGTTTTATCTTTTCTATATATATATATATATATATATATATATATATATATATATATATATGAGGGGCTACACTTATAAATCAAATACTTGGTTTAACCAGTTTACTTTAATCCATAAGTATAAGTGAATCTGTAAATGAGCATACAAAGGAACGGTTATGACCCCTTATCCTTTGCACATATTGGAGGCATTAGGTTGATATTAAAGACTAATCTGCACATAACGGCATAAAACATTTCTTCAAGAAGCGCAACAGTCGACTTCCTAATATTTTGTCCCATCAATCATCGATTGAGTTATAACGTCTTTTAAAGTGTCAATACCGAGTTAGTTTGAGTAAATCAGGTGACTCATGATGAATCCCCTTAAACACCCTTACTCATTTAATTTAATTTGAAGCCCATCTAATTCACTTTCCATTGTATGAAGTCCAGAGGTATTATGTTTTTTTGGTTTGGGGATGGTAGCAGTTATTAATAAGTCTTGCAATAATGAACCGATTGGTGTTTTGTTCGTTTGCCTGTAGATTTTACCATTAAAATGTATTAGTTTGATAGTTTAATTATTCCACTGCACGCAATAAAATCATATGAACAATATAGTGTTTCAGTCAATGAGATACTTCAGTGATGAGACTATACCTAGAAAGGATGTAAGCTAATCAGGGCAATGAGTATGATCAATAAATTAAAAACAATTATTGAATGAATGATATGAAACTTGCCTTTTTTAATCTCATATTCGATGGTAAGTTAAACACTTCATGTCAAGGATATTCTAAGGCGATATTTCTTCTTTGTATGTTTCAAATAGCCCATACAATCTAATAATATATGAAGTGAATGGTCGGAATACTTCAAACAAACCAGGATTTCTGACTGAAATCAGACTTTATTTAACTAAGGTGGAACAGACAGTTGTATCATTTTCTTATGTATAGATTTTATCTCATCAGAACTGTTAACCTTTTGTCGATAGTCACTCTAGTTCATCGAAATAACACTAACAATGTTATACTCCAAAAATGACTATTAGAAGCTTTAGTAGACGATTTAATATTTCTGTTCCTACGAATTAACTGTCCCAGAGATCAATTAATCTTAAAAATTAGCGATGCATTTTCAAGTGGATTTCAGTCAACCGTATTTTCATTTCATAATCTATTCAATCGTTTTCATTTGGTTCAATTCAGTGGGTTGCAGGTTTAATTGGCTTTCTGGTACCCCAGACACCCCAAGTTGCTCGTAGTAAACTTCTTCCTATACATGTTACACTAGGCAGCTTTTTATATTTACTTGTGATTGGTGTATGTATCTCTGGGATTACAGAGAAGAACTTTTTTTCAAAAACGTAAGTGTCATTTCGAAGAAATAATTACCCACCTATTTTTTTCGTTTTTTATAATATGTAGTTTCATTAATAAATCTCATATTGCTTATTCAATGGTACTTCTAGAAAGGATTTAACTTTTACTATGTAGGGTTTAGGTTAAAACTTAGCTTCGTTTATTTCAGTTTAAGCAACTGAGTAATATTATTCTGTAAAAAAAAGTTAAGTTTATTTATAACGGTCTCAATGGCTCATGTATTCACAATTTATTTTCTACTAAGTTTTAGTTTTCAATGTCACTTTGTGCTTTTTATGTCTGGAATACATGCCTCCTTATACTGGATAAGATTCAAGAAAGGAGGAACAAGAAAGCAGCAATCAATGCCAGCCGAACAAGAGCAGAAAAAGCCAAGGCACAAGCTGGATACGCAGAAGTAAACAAGCAAGTGAAGAGGAGTATCAGAACCGACCAACGTTAGTATGTGGAAGATTTGGCAATGACGGCGGAAAAGGCAGAAAGAGAAGGAAACATGAGACAACTGTATGACACAACAAAGAAACTCGCTGGAAATCACCGTAAACCAGAACGACCAGTGAAAAACAAGGAAGGCAAGGCAGTCACCAACATTGAAGAACAACGAAATAGGTGGGTAGAACACTTCAAAGAACTCTTGAATCGACCAGCCCCACTGAACCCACCCAACATCGAAGCAGCACTCACGGACCTCCCAATCGATGTTGGCCCACCAACAATTGAAGAGATCAGCATGGCTATCAGACAAGTCAAGAGTAGCAAAGCAGCAGGACTAGGCAGCATTCCAGCAGATGCACTGAAAGCAGACGTAGCGGCAACTGCAAGGATACTCCACATTCTCTTCAGAAAGATTTGGGATGAGGAACAGGTACCAAAAGACTGGAAAGAAGGACTTCTAGTCAAAATACCAAAGAAAGGCGATCTCAGCAACTGTGACAACTACAGGGGAATCACTCTTCTTTCAATACCAGGAAAAGTCTTCAACAGGGTATTGTTAAACAGGATGAAGGACTCCGTAGACGCACAACTTCGAGACCAACAGGCAGGATTCCCTAAGGATAGATCGTGCACAGACCAAATCGCAACTCTACGGATCATTGTGGAACAATCAATTGAATGGAATTCATCACTCTATATCAACTTCATCGACTACGAAAAAGCATTTGATAGCGTGGACAGAACAACCCTATGGAAGCTTCTTCGACACTACGGCGTGCCTCAGAGGATAGTCAATATCATACGGAATTCCTATGATGGATTAAACTGCAAAATCGTTCATGGAGGACAGTTGACAAAGTCGTTCGAAGTAAAGACCGGTGTCAGGCAAGGTTGCTTACTCTCACCTTTTCTCTTTCTCCTGGTGATCGACTGGATCATGAAGACATCAACATCTGAAGGGAAACACGGGATACAGTGGATAGCTAGGATGCAATTGGATGATCTAGACTTCGCAGATGATCTGGCTCTTCTGTCGCATACGCAACAACAAATGCAGGAGAAGACAACCAGTGTAGCAGCAGCCTCAGCAGCCTCAGCAGCAATAGGTCTCAATATACACAAAAGGAAAAGCAAGATTCTTCGATACAACACAGCATGCACCAATCCAATCACAATTGACGGAGAAGCTTTGGAAGATGTAAAAACCTTTACATATTTGGGCAGTATCATCGATGAACACGGTGGATCTGATGCAGATGTGAGGGCACGGATCGGCAAAGCAAGAGCAGCATATTTACAACTGAAGAACATCTGGAACTCAAAACAATTGGCAACCAACACCAAAGTCAGAATTTTCAATACAAATGTCAAGACAGTTCTACTGTATGAGACCGAAACCTGGAAAACCACGAAAGCCATCATCCAGAAGATACAGGTGTTTATTAACAGTTGTCTACGCAAAATACTTCGAACCCGTTGGCCAGACACTATTAGCAACAACCTACTGTGGGAGAGAACAAATCAGATCCCAGTGGAGGAAGAAATCAGGAAGAAGCGCTGGAAGTGGATAGGACACACATTGAGGAAAGCACCGAACTGCGTCACAAGACAAGCCCTCACATGGAATCCTCAAGGCCAAAAGAAGAAAAGAGAAAGACCAAAGAATACATTACGCCGAGAAACGGAGCTAGACATGAGAAAAATGAACAAAAATTGGATGGAACTAAGAAAGAAGGCCCAGGACAGAGTGGGTGGGGCGGCCTATGCTCCATTGGGAGTAACAGGCGTAAGTAAGTTAGTAAGTAATACATGCCTCCGTCACTGAACTACGTTCTCAAATGTTTAATCTTTTCACGATCATTGATATTGTCGTTGTTTCGGCTCTTTTGGTATTTATTTTCAATTTCATTATGTCATATTGATATGTTATTGTAACTTGGGCTGATGCATATTTTTAGTAAGCTATTTATTCATTCTGAATGACTAGTTACTTTACTCTTAGTTTAGTAAGGTACGTATCACAGTAAATAATTCTCAGCGAAAAATATTCACTATTGCCATAAGTTCCCGTCTTATATCTAATTAACCTGTAACTTTTGAAAAGTGTGTATTGAAAAATTTTCAACGGTGGTTATTCGCCGTTCATTTTCACGTTCGAATTGATTCGTCCCATTTTGCTCTATTAGTTCGATTGTAATCTCTTTCGTCCTTTCAAAGTCACGAGGTAATAAATATGCCAACAAACTTCATTGTAATATTATTATGGTTGGAAATGTGTTATCCAAACGTTTGAAGGACTCATGATAGTATAGTTGTCTAGGTATTATGTAATGATGTTAAAGTTACAGTTACGTTTATAAAATAGTTGAAGATTGACAATTCAAATGGAAGATAAAGTATATCAGATAATTGAATTTAAAAAAGCATATATTTATAGTATGAGATTTAGTCACATATAAGTCGATAATCTCACATATGTTTCTGATGAAGAGTAGTCCAATCAACAAGAAAATTCGTACTACTAAAATCGATATTATGTCAAATAATTATTGATAAGTTACCAGTTATTTTATTTCCAACAATGTATTGTGGATTGGTAGTGTAGAGATTGAACCAATCGTCAGTCTTCAACCAGTAAGTCTCCGGGGCTCAGACAACGTTTCCTAGGTATCAGTCTGCATACTGGGTTAGTACCTTTAAATATCCCACATAAACAACATAGCTCTTAATTCTTTCGTAAAGTAGACGCATATTTATTTTGAGTAAAATTAGAACATAATTTTCAATTATTTCTTTACGTAAATCATCGACAAGTATATCAATCTAATTGTTATATATATATATATATATATATATATATATATATATTTCTAATAAAAATTATCTATTTATTTGTTATTTAGTTATCCAGTTTTAAAAGCTGGTGAATTAATTGGCAATTTACTTGGTGTTGTATTGGTAATATTCTGTGGTTTAATATTTTATTTAACTCAAAATCCAAACTATCGTCGTATAGAAACAATATCTCCAGAACATCGTGCACTACAAGAATAAATACTATTCATAATGAATAATAATAATCCCATGAATTAAACCTATTAATTAATGTAATAGTATTTAATATTTTAATAGAATTATGATCAATTGACCACTTTCACTGCTTCTCTCCACTCCTAAACATTTATGTTCATTTTGTCATGTAATAATGTGTTTGAAATCATCAATAACTACACTGAAACCAACTATAATTATTTGTTGTAATTCAGTTCTGTTCAATTTGTTATATATCGATGTATTTTTGTTTGATTATTTTGCATTATTCGTTGCTCTTTATTATAATTTTCTTTTGACTAATTTGATCTTGTGATACGTTGAAATGTTTATTATCATTAAATCAGATGTTTTGAATAAATATCTATTCAGATTTATTGATGTGTGTTGTTATCGTGGCTTTTGTCATAAAAATATGTATTTCTATTGTCCGGTCATTGATATCTGCACATCTTCAATTCTGTTCTCTATATTTAATCTGTGAATAATTTTTATAATTTTATCTGCAACTTTGTCAGCAAATATGTGAGCATTATACTTCTTCTAATTCTCTTCTTTACATGTTCGTCTATACAACATGTGATGTCTATGACATGATGGGTTGGAAAAATGGCTTTATTCGCACCCACTTTTTTTCTTATCTCGCTTCACTTGTTGTTTTAATCTGTATGATTTAATGAACTAGTGATTATTGTCCTTGTTTCTCAAAAAGAAAAAGACGAACATTTTTATCTGTGAACATGTGACACTTATGAGTTTGTTTACTTACTTGAAAGATAAAAATAGAGTATCCGTTTTGACGAGCCGACTTAATCTCTTCATTATTATTATTATTATTATTATTATTATTATTGTTATTGTTATTAGTTTTGTTTGCAGGTTGAATTTATTTTCTTATTTATCATAATGGTGTAATTGAACTTTATTGATCATTCATTTGTTTGTCTATGTGTATGTTTGTGAGTAATCATTCAATTTATAATTGGAGATGTTTTACTGCTTTTATGTTAATATATTTATTTATATATATTTACCTTAGCAATTTCAATTTTCATTGTGTATGCAAAGCTCGTTCTAGTATAGTTATACTGCAGTGTAAGAAAAGTCATTAAAATGTGTGTTCTTGAACGTTTATGAAAGATCAACAATTCAAGTATGAAAACACAATTTAGAATGAATCAATGAACAATAGTGAGAATCATCCAAAATAAAAATTACTGTAGTAATGTGAAATTGACTAGGCCACTTACTTACTGCCATTTGTCCGCGTATTTAGTAAATAAAATTGTAGCGCGTTTAGTTTGGTATGTTTTAACTTTCAGTGTCAATATATATGAAAGTGTTCAGAATAAGATCTAAGTATATTGTAGGATCAGGCAGAAACAAGCATTTTCTCAGAAAAATTTAGAATTCTCAGTCTAAATTGTCTTCGTTAAAAATTTTGTAAGTTATTTATCAAAGCCAAAAACGGATATATGTGGTCGTTAGACCAGAATTCCTGATTAAATGATCTTTGTATATGCTACAGTGTTCTGTGCTAAGAATACACAATAAATCGTTGATGTACTGTATGCTTTTTTCCTCTATGGGACCTATCTCTTTATACTGTTATAAGTAGTTTTCGATTATGTGAGGATGCTTCTGTTTTAAGTGTAACACATCCTTGAGACATTTTTAAAGTTTACATTGATACAGTCGAAAGACGGCTAACAATCTGAATTGCGTTAAGTTTATCAAGTTCAGTATAGCTTGTGTAGGTTGTAATTAGTCAGCGCATTAGGACCGAAGCATGTAAATACATCACATCTAAATGATTAATTTGACGTTTAAAAATATATAACCTTGTCATAATATATGGATTCTAATGTAATTTTTGAACATATGTAACTGTGAATAAGTAACTATAGCTAGAACGCCACTTATCAGAAGAGACAGTTGAATTTTGTAGTGAACTTTTGTTTAGACAACTACTGGAAACCAGTAGTCAATAGTAATCTTTCATCTTAGTATGAAACTCACCGGTGGGATTCTGTGACTCCACCAATGATCGAACTCAGGACCATTAGGCTTGACCGCGAGTGCTTAATCTTTAGGCGATTGAGTTCACATAAAATGATTTACATTTCAAACCTTAGTTCCTTCCTTTTTTGGTCTAACGTTAGAATTTTCTAAAAATGTGTGTTCATTGTGGTTATATCTAAAGAAATCACTCTAAACTTGGCATCATACTATGCGTACTACATAGATTTTCTTCACTTACTATAGGAATTCACTACAGAAAAGAGTAGAATAAGAGTATCAGAGTTTCTGTATTACGGTTATTCAGTTTTCATTATTATATATAATGAACTCTTATTTAGTTTTTATAGTTTCCATCACAGATTGATTTAAGCTAGAAAATTATGGGAAACTAGAAAGCACTGGTTAGTTATTTTGCCCAATTATGGTTATTCTCATCAGTGTACACCCACGAAATTACCGTGGCCAATTTGGATGAAACGTTTTATCATACTTTGTGTTAGAAACGTCCAGTGTCGACAGATACGTTTGTAAAGTAATTTTGAGTAAAAAACTATAATTACCATACATTTTTGAAATTCTTAGTAACTCTTTTAAAGTGTATGAGATTAGTCATGGTAATTAATTAGCTTAGTGAGTTTGTTAATCATTTAGTTACTAAACCATCAACTTGATTATTAAATTCATCATAACTTCGAAATAGAAATTAGTGAATAAAATCTCCTTAGATGTATTTAACAATAATAATTTTTTTTCAGTTCTATTCACAAATGAATTACGTCTATAAATTTTAAAGAAAGGAACAATACTATGATCTGTCAACAGTAAAACAACATGCTATGACAAAATTACTGATATTCACAGTTTCATACCTTTAGAAAACAAAATAATAGATTTATATAGAATGAAATATTCGACATCTACAATCCTAACATTATAAAGTATTGAATTACAGTGTCTGGTCACATGTCCAGCCCACATAACTTATTCTAGCTTCTGAACAAACCAAGTTATTCATCTTTCTCAAGCTACATTGTAACTTTGTTAATTATTTGCTTATCAATCTTGACTGTTTTAATGTAATCGTATGTGTGTTCATTTCATTTCTTACTCATTACATGTTTGTGACTTATTTTTATCTGACTATAAGTATCGATTAACGCCTGATTAAACTGAGTTTGCTCACTCACCTTCTCCACCGCATGTCATTTTGCTTCGCTCTCTTCTCTTCGTTTCGTTTCTTCGACCGTTTGTCCGGATCAACGATTGTATGAAATACACGTATTCGAAATCGATTCTCGTATTTGACTTATTTAATTCTGTTGTTCACTAACTCGATTTAGTCGACGACTATACATGAGAATAGGCGATATGCATATTTCGATAACAACCATTTACACGATCTACGTGGAGTCAAATCACGGTCTTCAAATGAATAAGTTTTTACAATGTGTACGACTACAACTTTGAAATATTCCAAATCTCAGGCCAATCATTATAATCAATACCAAATTTTGTAGTAAAAAACATATTTATTCAATAAATCAATTTACAGTGGACTTATCTTTATAGACATTTACTACCATAACATGTAATCACTACATATGTCCGTTATCTTTGTCCTGAATTTGTTATTTTAGATCCATATTCTTTTAAATTTTCTCCTTTATTAGTTTAGAGAAGTTTGTAAAGTCCAGTCTAGCTTCAAAATTCAGCAAATATCTACCTACTAAATGACTACAGATAAGGTAGTTTCAAGTTAATCAAGTGGATTTCATCACACGGTTCAACAAACTAAAAATACATTAAATGAATAGAATGAATATATGAAGTGTAGTAGGAACGTGGATCTAAAATAAGAAATTCACGACAAAGATAACGGAAATATGTAGTTATTACATATTATGGTAGTTCTTTCTATGAACTAATATTAATTATTATGCAATGGAGAAACAGTTGATAATGATCCGTAATGAAACGCTAATTTTTTTATTTTACTTCACATAAAGATCTCAAACTACATAGAATAATTAGTACATTTCCGAGATTTAGTCATAATTTGTATTATTATAATTGTGGTTGTGTTATACGTAGGTTTCAATCTCATTAAGATTATCACTTCTATCAAGACTTGAAAATACTCCTATTTTGATAAATAGCAACTAACATAAAGCCTAGTTTTGAGAATTTCTGCTCATTATCTCCTATTACTTAAATTTGTTGGTAAAACCCAACTTATTAATAAACAAATATAATATTTCTTAACTGTTGTGCGGTTTTGTTTCAAATATTGCATAGTGGTCGACAGCGGAATATAAGTGGAGCATTTTGTATTGTTCTAGATTTGTCAGCAAGATTCAACTCTTTAAGTTTAACTCATCAATCAGGATTTTATGGATCATTTTAGATAAATTTATGAAAAATAAAGATAATTAAGAGAACTAAAAATACTAAATCTAACTGAATTAGATGATTGTGTAATACGCTAATAAATTCAGAATACAGATGGGATACTGTGAAATTCGACAACTCTATCCATCGATATGTTTCTATTTATAAAGGAATAGAGATTATTACAATTACCTGAGTATAATTATTACTGATTAGTCTTATTTCGTTTTGTTTTTAAAGATATGACAATTTGTTTTATTGAGTATTCACTTTATAGATTGACATTTGAATTAAAGCTAAAAAAACTATTGAATAAAGTAGTAAGTTTTTCTAGAAATAGGCTACAAAATAAATTGAAACTAATCGAAAACTATAATTATTCACTTAATATATTCATTTATTGAATAAAAATTGGACTCGTGTTTATTTCTAGTTTTAATATTAAAATCTTACAATATGTAACAATAACTAAAGAAATAATGAAATCTATAAATTATTTACCAGTCAGTCAGATACACTGTAGCACCAGGCACATATGTGCATCGGTCCAAGTTGCCATACCTTATTAGCACAACAAGATGAATACCAAATTC